GCAAAATACTTTTAATTCAATTTTGTTGCAAAATTTTATTATTTAAACTATTTTTTTTATTTATTTTTCATATATTTGCAACCAAACTTTATGCACCGCAACTTCATGCGATATCCGCAAACGTGCGTTATACTTCCGCCTGCATAAAAACATTACAAAATGGTGTTATCAATAACGGAAATATTAAACTAAATAATAAACACACATATGACAACGGAAATTAAAATTTTTCGAAAATTATTTTTAAACAAAAAATAAAACAAATTTGAATAAAATTATTCGTTTGGTTTTGCACATTTCAACTGCAAACTGTTAATGTGCCGCAAATTGCAGATACGCCTAACTTCCGATAAGTTGAGTTTTGATTTGATACCTGACGTTACGAACAACGTAACACATGCAACTATCATCAAAATTAGTCGGGCAACCTCCTGGCATTCGGTTGAGCTAGACTACAAGGCGGGCGAAATTAAATTCACTGTTGATTACCATCACACGCTAAGTCAAATGTTCGGACTCACCTTTAATATTGGCGATAAGGTAATTATCGGCAGCAGTTTAAAATCAGCTGCGTCTGGTTTAGTGGGCTGCATACGTGATATTGAAATCAATGGGCACCTAATTGAACCACGTCAAATTATGAAAACAGAACGTGTGGTCGGTGAAGTCGCTCTAGATAACTGCAATTATATTGATCCATGCAAACGACCGAATACCTGTGAGCATGGTGGAACTTGTCACGTTAAAGATGATCGTGTTACTTGCGACTGTCAAGGTATTGGTTATGTGGGTAAAAACTGTCACTTTACAGAGCACCGCAAAACGTGTGAGGAATTGGCTTTGTTGGGGTATACTAAGTCCGATGTTTACCTAATTGATATCGATGGCAATGGTGTCTATCCACCTGTGCATGTCAAGTGCGATTTTCAAAGTTTGGAAAATGCTACAAAAACAATCGTCGAACACAATTTACCAAGTCAGGTTGATGTACGTTCAACGCTTGATAGTGATTTTAGTTTTAATATTCGTTATCGTGAATTCCCACCAGAAATGTTACAGGAATTAATATCGCACTCACTGTATTGCACACAGTATATTAAGTATGACTGTTATAAGGCACAGTTGGAATTGCATTCGGCTACCTGGTTTACTTCATCCTTTAAAAATCACACTGTTGATTTTCTAGGCAATGTTAAAAGGTGAGTACACAAATTATTTTATTTTCATTATTGATAATAAACGATTGGAATAATATATCATGTTTTCATCAATGCCTAAAATGTGCTTCTTAATTAACATAATAAATGAAACAAATAGAACAACTTCTGAGAATAAAAAAATGCATTTCGAAAGCTTAGAATATTTATATTTTGGATAAGATTAGATATTTTGGATAAGATATCTTGATTTTTATCACAATATCATTATGAGGCAAAAGGGTTCCACCTAACTTACAACAATGTCAAAATTTTTACAAACATATGTATAATGCACCTTAATGATTTGCCTTATGTGATATCTCTAAAGTCATTTCAATTTTAAAGTACATAATATTATGATAAAGAAATACTCCACTCAATACCGGAGTATGAATTCATTTACGAACCTAAAAAAAACTAAAACGACTTGTTAGATATAGTTGCTTTGCATCAATATGAAATGCATAAATGGATATTATTAATATTATAATTATATTATTATAAATATTGGTCCAGAGCCCTTCTGCGGTGTAACAAATAGCTTCACAAATAGCTTATTATGTGAACGGGAGAAACAACATCTACTTGAACACTGGCATGCCCAAACAGGCATGCAACATTCAAAAAGATTCATTGATCCTGATCACATCAAAGTTGATGCTATCTGTGGCCTTAGCAGAAACGATATTAAACTATACACTGAACTTTCTTACAGTCTTACTGTAGACTTAATTACCACATGAAGAATATAGGTGTGGTAGAAAGTGACTCCTGTCGACTCTGTCATGAGGAGAAGGAAACATCAGAACATGTTCTATTCAACTGCCCAGCGGTGGCAAGACGTAGACTCGATTACTTTGGAAGCGGGATCTTAGTCCCAAATCAAATAGATAAAATTAAGCCCACAGCAATTACAAGATTTATAAAGAGTCTAAAATTGTCCCAGTTGGGCCTTTAGGCGTACAATAGATCTTTTAGGTCGGGGTGCTTTCATAGCCTATTACTTAAATAAAAAAAAATTACAAATATTATAATTTATTTTATTTGTCGACTGTTTTTATTTGCTATATTCAATAAAAACTGAATTTATATCAGTTTAAGGTTTTGATGCCACATTGAATCGTACTTATACTCCATGAACCTCGTTATTAAGTGAATATAGGTTTACGTCTGTATTTATTTCCTAATATCTATAGAGATCATATAAGATAATTTAGATATTTTTTGTGACTTGAACTTATTTTTGTAAATACAATGAACCTAATTTATTCATAGAAATAAGTCATCTCATATATTATCTTGTAGTATTAAGCATCTGAGTGGACATTTGCCTACAAAGTGAAATGATTGGTATATAATTAGTAATATTAAAATATTTTCGACTATTCGTTTAAAATAATACTTTAAAATATTATTTGCTGTAATTGTTAAATACAAGTTGTTGAAATTATGAAACTTTAACAAAATTAAAATAGGCCCACATTTATTATTATTCCACTTACGCCATATGTTCATTGAATTCTTCAAAAACTTACTTTACAAAATCTTGTTAATATCTTTCTAATGCAAATTCTTGGATTTTTTTAAACGTTGTGATAATGTAACAAAAGTACACATTAAGATAATATTGTTGAACTATGCCTATACGTAAAGTTATAAAAGATAACATAACGAAAGTCATTTCCTTTTGACTCTAATAGTATACGTGAAATAATATTTGAGTAACATTGTATCTCTAAAGTTGAACTAAAATCTTTCCATTTTACTTCCTAATAAACACTTATTAAATCTTAAATATATTTAATTACATTGCTGCACTTGTAATGCCTTTTATTCTTCAATATACGAGTATATGTTGAATTTGTTTACAATGGACTCAATCAACATTGCATACTAATTGCACTGTTGATTTTAATGCCAATGGAACGCTTGCAAGGAACATTAAATGCATTTGGAATCATTAAACTTACTTGCCACTTAGTTGCGTAAATTTGGTTTGTCCAGTTGTAAATAGTGAAACTGTCATATTTGTGAGGAAGTCATGCTTGGTTCAAATCACTTGAGTGGACAATGTATGTCCTATATTTGGGTTACATCTACTCAACGGCACTTGCAGACTCCAAATGTTAACAATGTTGCAAACATGAATGATTTCTATTCCAACAATTTGGTATCGCACAACAACAACAATAACAACAACTCAAGTGCAACAATAGTAGCAACAAGAAGAAGTTGACACTTGACAGCAAGAATATAAATTTTGTTGTGAAATATTAGGAAATGACTTGATTGGATACAAATATGCTAAGTACAAAATATTATGACTGATTTATTTGCATACATGGGAGATCTACGATGACCGATGATGAGCTGATGAAATTTGTAGAATGAATTCAAATTTGAAACAATGATGAATATTTAAATTTATTTCATGTGTGCTATCACAAGTTCTCTATACTTTATAATTAAATTGTAGTTAAATATTTTGCCTTTATTTTTTCTTATCTATAAATATATATTTCCTTATAGATATAAATATATTCAATTAATTATAAATTTAAGCACCTAAAAATGTTAACTCAATATTTAGTTTCAGTTTTCTTAAAGCTGTACAGTATGAAAAACTATATATGTAAATATCTTAGCAATGTTAACAGTATTTGCAGATCCAATATCTTGTTTTCGAGTAATTCTTCATCTTTCTAATTTCCTACATCCACTAAATCAATCCTTTTCACCCTTTTCATTCATATATTTCTTAGTCTTTATCCAATTCGTAGCCATTTATTTTCTTGTCAATGTTTGCATTTATAAACAATAAACGCATGAATCGTTTTCGTTTTGTGTATTATTAAATTTTACTCAAATTGTGCCTAAACTGTCCTCAGCTTAGTGAACAAATGGGTTATGGCAAGATAACCAACGAATATTTTTGTAGTCTCCATTTGCAGTCATTGGTCAATCTTTAGTCATTCAAAATTTGACAGCTGCCGAGAATTTTGCTCTGCTGTACACTCATATATATACATATATAGACAAAAACAATAACATATATATAAATACATACTTCGATTTATACACTCAAGAAAAAAAGAGGTGTTTTTAATGGACCGCATCTGTTATTTCATATGATTCCACATTATCAGTAAAATTATAAAAATGAAACTTAAAATAATATATATCCCCTGGCATATGAACATAAGATAGATAAGAATAAGATAGACATAAGATAGACTGACCTAACATAGTGTCCTTACATTACTTTTTCAATTTCTGAAAATGTAGAGCCTTTTAAGCAAAACTGGCAAGCCATTCAACATTATTATCATTTCTTTAACCCAAATGGCTTAAAGTCTCGCTATTCTTTTATATATTCAAAAAACACATCGTTGTCTTCTCACATCTACGAATCAGACACACTTTCGTGTCCTCCATACACCAATTCTCTGCTAGTGGTCAAGTACCTTGCCTCTACAGTAGTTTCATATCACCTCATCATATGCTTTATTTCTGTCGCATCTTTTCTAATCAAAGACAAAGCTATTTTGGTCTTAATAATAATAATTCATATCATCTAGAACTTTTGTGTCTCCCATACATCAACTCTCTGCAAGTGTTGAGAGTCATATCACCTCCTCATATCCTTGATTCCTGCGGCATCTTTTGTAATCAAACTTTTCGTCGCAACTTTTTGTTAAAACAAATTAAACTAATTTAGTAGATGAAAGATAGGTCATCAATTGGTACTCTCTGCGTATTTTCAATAACGATAATTTTTCAAAACTTTATTAAAAAATGTTTTAATATTATATTATTATAGGTGACCGAATATTAGTATTAAGATATGAGGTGAAAATTTATAGTATTCTGATTGGAAATTACAAATACTTTATTTCTTATTTACTTACTTACTCATTTGGTCATAACAACCCGTTACCAGGTTTTGGCCTGACGCAGCATGGCTTTCTAGGTTTCTCTGCTTCGTGCGGGTCTTCTCCATTAAGGATAGTGCGCCGTCAAATTAATCACTCCATGGGAGACACGGTCTACCTCTACGCTTTCTTCCTCCAACTACTGCTTCAAACACATTTTTCACTAGACCATCTTCATCCATTTTCGTGACATGTTAATTCGCTGAATTGTATCAATGTTGTGATAAAGCTCGTACAGCTTGAGGTTCATTCGGATGCGAGACAAAGATCTTACAAAGAAGATCTTTTATATTTTCTTATAAAAGATATAAAAATTACAAATACTTTATTCCTATATATTCCTTTGTTTATGGTTAATGTAATGATTGTGGCCATAACTTCATGCACCTTCAATTTATAAATAAACATAAGTCTGGAAAGTCCATTTAGCAGTTTATATGTTGCGCTCGATGTGAAACCCCTCTCTTGAACCTCTTAACTGTCCTTTTGGGAAAAATGTTTTAATCATAGACATATCATATCCCACTCTTATATCTTTTTTACATATTTCAATAAGATTTTAGTTTAATAACATATTGTCACTTCTTTTTCGACAGAATATTACTTATACTTATCAATAATATCAATAAGAACAGAACTTTTTATCCTTCAACTATAGAAACTTAATATTTGTTTTATTCTTATTACTTTAATTTTATTATAACATTTACAAATTTCTATTATCTTATTCAAAAATTTGTTTTTTTTTTTTTGAGTATAAAATCTGTACAATTTCATTTTTTCATAACTAATTTTTTCTGTTTGTATAAATCTTATTTTTTCAATTTTCGCTCAAAGTTGTTTTTTATTCTTTTTAACTGTGCTCCCTTTCTAGAGGTGCTTGTCCCTGCTCCGTCAACAAAACATGTGTGGACCCAAATCAATCATGCAACTGTGATGTAAAGGAAAATAAATGGCACTCAGACGAAGGATACTACACAGAACCACATAGTTTAGGCATAACAAATATGTTTTTCCTGCAACAAAAAGATTTGGATGAGGAAGCACAGGGACGCATAACATTAGGACCATTAGAGTGTGTCGAAACAAGTATGTAGCAATCATGTTTTTCCAATAAAAAAAATCACAGAAGTAATTAAAAAAATTGTATTAATGTATTAATCATTTTATATATATAATATTTATTTTATTTATTTTTAATAATATACCATCAGATACACAAAAATATGTCGTGACTTTTACCACCTCACAGTCTTACATCGAAGTGCCCGGTTGGCGTAAAGGCGATATTGCGTTTTCGTTCCGTACAACAGGTGAAAAAGCCATATTGCTTTTTCAACCGCCTATTCGACCATATTATCCTTCATTTATGGTCGCACTTACCGGTGACTATCAGTTGACATTCAACTTTACACTAAGCACTGGCACTACACGTGAATTGGTGATAAACTCACGTCGCAAGTTAAACGGTGGTGAATGGCATAAAATATGGATTGATTACAATGAGTATCATGTACGTTTCATGATAAATACAGACTCTCAAATGGTTGATCTACTGCCAGAGGAGGAGTTCGGCCCATTTGAAGGTAGCATGTATATTGGCGGTGCAACAGCGTAAGTAAAATATTATTTTTTTATTAAAAAACAAAGTTATGAGTGCTTACGGAACTTTCACTGAATTATAAAATTTCTTATTTCTTATTCCAATTATTGACAGTTATTAACAATAATACAAATCTTTATTCAAATCTTGTTTGTAGAATTGTTTCAAATTGCACTTCTATCAATTAGGAGGTGATTCATCAGTTGATTGTGATTAAGCAAATTCCTCACGCATAGTACATATTATCCGTTATCTATCTAATAAAACCTAATAAGTATCCTATTATCTGTTTTAAAAATATGACACGAAATATAATATATCCAGATATCAGCAGAACGCCACTAATGGAATACTAATCTGCAAATAAGTTTTAAAGGTATCTCTTTTATACGGATGTATGGTATGTGAGACAGCAGTCAAATTTACTCTCATAAGTGAACTTAAAATCAATTCACATCATCTTATTCCCAATTTCAAGGTTGCTTTAGTCTCTACGACTAGAAGCACTCATACTTAATTCCGTATTCCAGTAAAACGTGAGTGGTGATCTTAAATGACACTGTGCACCACTAGCTCGATTGAATTGAAAAACATATCAAATCCGTTTAATATCGCAAAAAGTTTCAGATATAGTTATTTCTTATTGCTCCATAATTTAATATTAAAAACGATAACTCGATCATCAGATTTGAATCACACAATAATTACCAAAAGTGTGATTCTTATATGGTATGCCAACGATATTCATATTATTAGTTAAAGTACATAACCTATTTCATCCAATGAAACCAATGGGTTGTGTAAAAAATAGAACAAAACTCTCTGTCAGCAAAAAAATTTTCTGATCGTTTCCGAACTCACGCCACTGTTGACAACAATAACTCCGAAATTTTGAAAGACTTTAAATACATTAAAACTAATGACTGCTTAGATATTCCACAAAAACTCACATTTATCAATATCTTCAACTTCGGGCAAAGTAACTAATTAAAAATTTAACTGTGCTCTCTCCAAACGAAAATTATCATGCCTCTACTGCTATATGGTATTGAAGATGGAACAATAACCAACATTGATAAGAAGGCATGAGAAGCATTCACGAGAAAGGTTATTTGGACAATCAATGCCTCAGTAGAAAATATCGATTTAGATGGAACGATAAATTATGTGAGCTATACCATGACATTAACATAGTTAAACTTATTAAAATTCAATGAAGTCGCTAGCTTAATCTTTGTGTACGAGTAGGTAGAAAATGTTTTAGGTGGAAAATTTATTCGGTACTCATAGAAGAAAAAAGCGATAAAAAAAGTACTCATCTTTGTTCAAATAATGAGTTGACAAATAATCTAACGACACTCAGTATTATTAATTGAAGATAGCAAGCTACTCTGCAGATTGTCTTATGGCGGCTATCCAACGCGGTCAAACATGGTGCACGGCTTTTAGAGAGAAAGTGATTTAGTTAGAGACTCTATTTAAAAACATAATAAATCTTCTTATTATAGGCTTCTAAATCATTGTAATATGTTACAGACGAAGATGAACGCCATTAGGGAAATTATTGCTTGTCTGAAAATGGATTATATATTTAATAGAAACATATACATACTTTTAAACAGTCAAACTGCTTTAAAGTCCTTGAGTCCAATACATTTAGGACGATTTTTGACTACTACAGGAGTCTCTATTCTGAATCATACAGATATTTTCGACAATTGCTAGAAAGCTAGAAAGTATGCTTCAGGTAATAGTTTCGAACATCTAAGCAATCTGATCATAACGATAACATCATTAAAACTTTTACTAAGTTCTTTCTATGCCGAACTCTTAATAAAAGCTAGAAAGATTCAACGATATGTATGCAAATTGGCCACATTCCATTAAAATGAAATTTGATACTGTCATTGAAATGCACTGTGAAAATATCAATCTTGTTGTAGGTTTACTTACTGCAAATTAAGAAACCAAGCTTGAAGATTAGATCTACATTTCAATTGTATCTGTTGCCGTTGTGAAGAGGACGATGTAAGTACCTCTCATCTGAATTGTTTGCGCCCAGCATATGCGCTGCGCTGCCTTACTACTCTAGGAACTTCCTTTTCTAAGAATTTTGGTGAACTTAAAGAGCTTCCTTTAAAAAGCATTTTAAGCTTTGTAAAAGGTTGAAGATGGTTTTAAACGTAAACTGTAACACAATTGACCAATAAGCCAAAGTGGATTCCTTTGAATCGAAGGTACAACCTAACCTAACCTACTGTTTGAGATAAATAGTTCCGTTAGTGGAATGCTATAAAAGTTTTAAAGATATAAATTATTCATCATTATTTAATATGGGAAAGTAAAAGAGCTAACAGTCCACTAGCAGTTAAATACAATAAAGGAGTTTTATAGCTCTTTTTAATTCTCATCGTACAATCGTTGTGCCTACTGCATGTTAAGTTATTATTAAAGTCTATATTTGTTATTGGAATTTATTTTTAAATTAACAATATCTAATTTGGAATGATAACATTATGCATTAATATTTTATTGAGCTACTTAACATAAGCAAATTGTATTGTGTGCAATTGCACTTTACACAAACTTGAATTAATTAGTTCATTGAATATTGGCAAAGTAAAATAGAGTTTCACGTGCCAATAAAATTAATTTACAAGCAAATAATTTATATTTGCTTTTTAATACACGAAATTCTTTCACTTAACATAAAATCGAACTTATAAATTATTTGAAATCTTGCCAATATAATTCTCATTAAAATTTATTAAGTACGATTAAAATAATTTATATATATAACAAAATAATTTATTTCAAATTTAAACAAATTTTTTCAATAATTACGATTGATTTAATTACACGATACATAGATAATAACAATATAAATTTCTGATATATTTTAAATGTGGTCGTATATAATTTTAATCCGTTTTCAACTTGAAGTTTAATTATTTTAATAACAACTTTTAAATGAATAGCAAAACAATGCATTGATATAGCAATCCTTGCTCATTCATACCAAAAACAGAAATATTTTAGACTAATTTGGACTCGTACAATAATGAAATTGGCCAATCGTGCAAATTAAACAACATTGATTTAATGGTAATTATTGGCGCCATTGTTTCAGAGCCGGAACAGCTGAAAAGCATAGAAGACACAACAGCGCTCGGGGAAGGACTAGCACATAAACTAATTGGTACTGGAATTAATGATTTCATTTTTGTTGTATTTTAAATATGTTTACATGATTGTTAAATGCCAATTGAATTGCATTGTTTGCAGCATCATTTACTAGTACAATAAGGCCTGCTTACCACACTTGCATTACAACATTACAACATTACAGTATACCATACCATACCATACTAGTGATTTCCAGATATAAAACTAAAATAACAAAAATAACAGACAGGCAGGCAGGCAGGCAGGCCAACATTCAGGCAGGCATTTAAAATGAGGCAAACAAAACGAGAATGAAATTAACAGAAAATAAAAA